TATTCCGGGGAGCAAAAGGGAGACTTGGTGTCATCTAGTTTGGTGTCTGATGGATATTCCGGGGAGCGAAAGGTAGTCATAGTGTCATCTAGTTTTTGTGTCTGATTGATATCCTAGGGAGCAATAGGGAGACTTATTGTCATCAAGTTTTGTGTCTGATGTAAATCCCTGGCAGAGAAAGGGAGTCTTAGTGTCATCTAGTTTGGTGTCTGATGGATATTCCGGGGAGCGAAAGGGAGTCTTAGTGTCATCTAGCTTTGTGTCTGATAGATATCCTGGGGAGCAAAAGGGAGTCTTAGTGTCATCTAGTTTTGTGTCAGATGGATATTCCGGAGAGCAAAAGGGAGTCTTAGTGTCATCTAGTTTTGTGTCTGATGGATATCCTGGGGAGCAAAAGGGAGTCTTAGTGTCATCAAGTTTTGTGTCAGATGGATATTCCGGAGAGCAAAAGGGAGTCTTAGTGTCATCTAGTTTTGTGTCTGATGGATATCCTGGGGAGCAATGGGGAGTCTTAGTGTCATCTAGTTTTGTGTCTGATAGATATCCTGGGGAGCAATAGGGAGTCTTTTTGTCATCTAGTTTTGTGTCTGATGGATATCCTGGGGAGCAAAAGGGAGACTTAGTGTCATCTAGTTTTGTGTCTGATAGATATCCTAGGGAGCAAAAGGGAGTCGTAGTGTCATCTAGTTTTGTGTCTGATGGATATTCCGGGGAGCGAAAGGGAGTCTCAGTGTCATCTAGTTTTGTGTCTGATGGATATTCCGGGGAGCGAAAGGGAGTCTTAGTGTCATCTAGTTTTGTGTCTGATAGATATCCTAGGGAGCAAAAGGGAGTCTTAGTGTCATCTAGTTTTGTGTCTGATAGATATCCTGGGGAGCAAAAGGGAGTCTTAGTGTCATCTAGTTTTGTGTCTGATGGATATTCTGGGGAGCAAAAGGGAGTCTTAGTGTCATCTAATTTTGTGTCTGATGGATATTCCGGAGAGCGAAAGGGAGTCTTAGTGTCATCTAGTTTTGTGTCTGATAGATATCCTGGGGAGCAAAAGGGAGTCTTAGTGTCATCTAGTTTTGTGTCTGATGGATATTCCGGAGAGCAAAAGGGAGTCTTAGTGTCATCTAGTTTTGTGTCATGGATATTTTGGAGAGCAAAAGGGAGTCTTAGTGTCATCTAGTTTTGTGTCTAATGGATATTCCGGGGAGCGAAAGGGAGTCATAGTGTCATCTAGTTTTTGTGTCTGATTGATATCCTAGGGAGCAATAGGGAGACTTATTGTCATCAAGTTTTGTGTCTGATGTAAATCCCTGGCAGCGAAAGGGAGTCTTAGTGTCATCTAGTTTGGTGTCTGATGGATATTCCGGGGAGCAAAAGGGAGTCTTAGTGTCATCTAGTTTTGTGTCTGATAGATATCCTGGGGAGCAAAAGGGAGTCTTAGTGTCATCTAGTTTTGTGTCTGATGGATATTCCGGGGAGCAAAAGGGAGTCTTAGTGTCATCTAGTTTTGTTTCTGATGGATATTCCGGGGAGCGAAAGGGAGTCTTAGTGTCATCTAGTTTTGTGTCTGATAGATATCCTGGGGAGCAAAAGGGAGTCTTAGTGTCATCTAGTTTTGTGTCTGATGGATATTCCGGAGAGCAAAAGGGAGTCTTAGTGTCATCTAGTTTTGTGTCTGATGGATATTCCGGAGAGCAAAAGGGAGTCTTAGTGTCATCTAGCTTTGTGTCTGATAGATATCCTGGGGAGCAAAAGGGAGTCTTAGTGTCATCTAGTTTTGTGTCAGATGGATATTCCGGAGAGCAAAAGGGAGTCTTAGTGTCATCTAGTTTTGTGTCTGATGGATATCCTGGGGAGCAATGGGGAGTCTTAGTGTCATCTAGTTTTGTGTCTGATAGATATTCCGGGGAGCGAAAGGGAGACTTGGTGTCATCTAGTTTTGTGTCTGATGGATATTCCGGAGAGCGAAAGGGAGTCATAGTGTCATCTAGTTTTTGTGTCTGATTGATATCCTAGGGAGCAATAGGGAGACTTATTGTCATCAAGTTTTGTGTCTGATGTAAATCCCTGGCAGCGAAAGGGAGTCTTAGTGTCATCTAGTTTGGTGTCTGATGGATATTCCGGGCAGCGAAAGGGAGTCTTTGTGTCATCTAGTTTTGTGTCTGATGGATATCCTGGGGAGCGAAAGGGAGTCTTAGTGTCATCTAGTTTTGTGTCTGATGGATATCCTGGGGAGCAAAAGGGAGACTTAGTGTCATCTAGTTTTGTGTCTGATAGATATCCTAGGGAGCAAAAGGGAGTCGTAGTGTCATCTAGTTTTGTGTCTGATGGATATTCCGGGGAGCGAAAGGGAGTCTCAGTGTCATCTAGTTTTGTGTCTGATGGATATTCCGGGGAGCGAAAGGGAGTCTTAGTGTCATCTAGTTTTGTGTCTGATAGATATCCTGGGGAGCAAAAGGGAGTCTTAGTGTCATCTAGTTTTGTGTCTGATAGATATCCTGGGGAGCAAAAGGGAGTCTTAGTGTCATCTAGTTTTGTGTCTGATGGATATTCCGGGGAGCAAAAGGGAGTCTTAGTGTCATCTAGTTTTGTGTCTGATGGATATTCCGGGGAGCAAAAGGGAGTCTTAGTGTCATCTAGCTTTGTGTCTGATAGATATCCTGGGGAGCAAAAGGGAGTCTTAGTGTCATCTAGTTTTGTGTCAGATGGATATTCCGGAGAGCAAAAGGGAGTCTTAATGTCATCTAGTTTTGTGTCTGATGGATATCCTGGGGAGCAATGGGGAGTCTTAGTGTCATCTAGTTTTGTGTCTGATAGATATTCCGGGGAGCAAAAGGGAGACTTGGTGTCATCTAGTTTTGTGTCTGATGGATATCCTGGGGAGCAATAGGGAGACTTATTGTCATCAAGTTTTGTGTCTTATGTAAATCCCTGGCAGCGAAAGGGAGTCTTAGTGTCATCTAGTTTGGTGTCTGATGGATATTCCGGGGAGCGAAAGGGAGTCTTTGTGTCATCTAGTTTTGTGTCTGATGGATATCCTGGGGAGCGAAAGGGAGTCTTAGTGTCATCTAGTTTTGTGTCTGATGGATATCCTGGGGAGCAATAGGGAGTCTTTGTGTCATCTAGTTTTGTGTCTGATGGATATCCTGGGGAGCAAAAGGGAGACTTAGTGTCATCTAGTTTTGTGTCTGATGGATATTCCGGGGAGCGAAAGGGAGTCTCAGTGTCATCTAGTTTTGTGTCTGATGGATATTCCGGGGAGCGAAAGGGAGTCTTAGTGTCATCTAGTTTTGTGTCTGATAGATATCCTAGGGAGCAAAAGGGAGTCTTAGTGTCATCTAGTTTTGTGTCTGATAGATATCCTTGGGAGCAAAAGGGAGTCTTAGTGTCATCTAGTTTTGTGTCTGATGGATATTCTGGGGAGCAAAAGGGAGTCATAGTGTCATCTAGTTTTTGTGTCTGATTGATATCCTGGGGAGCAATAGGGAGACTTATTGTCATCAAGTTTTGTGTCTTATGTAAATCCCTGGCAGCGAAAGGGAGTCTTAGTGTCATCTAGTTTGGTGTCTGATGGATATTCCGGGGAGCGAAAGGGAGTCTTTGTGTCATCTAGTTTTGTGTCTGATGGATATCCTGGGGAGCGAAAGGGAGTCTTAGTGTCATCTAGTTTTGTGTCTGATGGATATCCTGGGGAGCAATAGGGAGTCTTTGTGTCATCTAGTTTTGTGTCTGATGGATATCCTGGGGAGCAAAAGGGAGACTTAGTGTCATCTAGTTTTGTGTCTGATGGATATTCCGGGGAGCGAAAGGGAGTCTTAGTGTCATCTAGTTTTGTGTCTGATAGATATCCTAGGGAGCAAAAGGGAGTCTTAGTGTCATCTAGTTTTGTGTCTGATAGATATCCTGGGGAGCAAAAGGGAGTCTTAGTGTCATCTAGTTTTGTGTCTGATGGATATTCTGGGGAGCAAAAGGGAGTCTTAGTGTCATCTAGTTTTGTGTCTGATGGATATTCCGGGGAGCGAAAGGGAGTCTTAGTGTCATCTAGTTTTGTGTCTGATAGATATCCTGGGGAGCAAAAGGGAGTCTTAGTGTCATCTAGTTTTGTGTCTGATGGATATTCCGGAGAGCAAAAGGGAGTCTTAGTGTCATCTAGTTTTGTGTCATGGATATTTTGGAGAGCAAAAGGGAGTCTTAGTGTCATCTAGTTTTGTGTCTGATGGATATCCTGGGGAGCAAAAGGGAGTCTTAGTGTCATCTAGTTTTGTGTCTGATAGATATTCCGGAGAGCGAAAGGGAGACTTGGTGTCATCTAGTTTTGTGTCTGATGGATATTCCGGGGAGCGAAAGGGAGTCATAGTGTCATCTAGTTTTTGTGTCTGATTGATATCCTAGGGAGCAATAGGGAGACTTATTGTCATCAAGTTTTGTGTCTGATGTAAATCCCTGGCAGCGAAAGGGAGTCTTAGTGTCATCTAGTTTGGTGTCTGATGGATATTCCGGGGAGCGAAAGGGAGTCTTTGTGTCATCTAGTTTTGTGTCTGATAGATATCCTGGGGAGCAAAAGGGAGTCTTAGTGTCATCTAGTTTTGTGTCTGATGGATATTCCGGAGAGCAAAAGGGAGTCTTAGTGTCATCTAGTTTTGTGTCTGATGGATATTCCGGGAGCGAAAGGGAGACTCAGTGTCATCTAGTTTTGTGTCTGATTGATATCCTGGGGAGCAATGGGGAGACTTGGTGTCATCTAGTTTCGTGTCTGATAGATATTCCGGGGAGAGAAAGGGAAATTTTGTGCCATCTAGTTTTGTGTCTGATGGATATCCTGGGGAGCAATGGGGAGTCTTAGTGTCATCTAGTTTTGTGTCTGATAGATATTCCGGGGAGCGAAAGGGAGACTTGGTGTCATCTAGTTTTGTGTCTGATGGATATTCCGGGGAGCGAAAGGGAGTCATAGTGAGATGCTTCTCCGGGCCTGTAATCGCACAAAGTTCAATGATTATAGTAATTATTACGCATTATCAACGACGAGGACGGGATACCAGATGTGATGGGAGTCAGTGTGTATGTCACTGACGTTGTTGTAGGAGGCTGGCGTCCATGACAGCCGGGGATCCTCCCACACCTGCAACAATGCACGGACACGACAAGGTCTTTATTGGATAACGATTGGATCTTGCATAATATCAAACATGAAACTTCACTTTCGAATAGTGATAACACCGGTGTCCGCGAAAAGGTGAACGTATCCTGCCCCACCGCTGGCACCCATTACATATGCATGAATCGTGTCAACTGAACTAAGCAAGTGATCGAACAAGATTTTGTCATGAAGATCAGTGAGTGAGTGAGTGAGTTTGGGTTTACGCCGCTTTTAGCAATATTCTAGCAATATCACGGCGGAGAACACCAGAAATGAGCTTCACACATTGTGAACCCGGGTCTTCGGCGTGACGAGCGAACGCTTTAACCACTAGGCTACCCGACCGCCCCTCGATATTTTATGAATGTACTGTGAAAACAGTTGACACACGAGGGGAGGACTGGTTTCTTGTTGCTGTTGCTGTTGTTTGTTTGTCTGGACAAGACAATCCAGTGATTGATATCATGAGAGTTTCTACGAGATGGACAATAATGACTCATATTGGTGAACATTACCCCCAGAATTGGCATTATAGACGGAGAATTAGGACGTTTGTTCAGAAAGAAATTGGCCTTGGCATTATATAAAGGTAATTTGCGAAAATCCGTTTGAAAAAAATCCATGGCATCATGGCAATATTGGTATTATAACTAGCGGTATTATAACAGATTGGCATTGTAACCAGGTTGGCATTGTAACCAGGTTGGCATTATAACCAGGTTGGCATTATAACCAGCTTGGCATTGTAACCAGCTTGGCATTATAACCAGCTTGGCATTATAACCAGCTTGGCATTGTAACCAGCTTGGCATTATAACCAGGTTGGCATTGTAACCAGCTTGGCATTGTAACCAGCTTGGCATTGTAACCAGCTTGGCATTGTAACCAGGTTGGCATTGTAACCAGGTTGGCATTTTAACCAGCTTGGCATTATAACCAGGTTGGCATTATAACCGGGTTGGTATTGTAACCAGGTTGGCATTGTAACCAGGTTGGCATTATAACCTGCTTTGCATTATAACCAGCTTGGCATTGTAACCAGCTTGGCATTATAACCAGCTTGGCATTATAACCAGCTTGGCATTATAACCAGCTTGGCATTGTAACCAGGTTGGCATTGTAACCAGGTTGGCATTGTAACCAGGTTGGCATTATAACCAGGTTGGCATTGTAACCGGGTTGGCATTATAACCAGGTTGGCATTATAACCAGGTTGGCATTGTGACCAGGTTGGCATTATAAAAAAAACACATTTCAAACCATTTCAGCATACATGTCTACCTTTAATTAAGTAGACATTATACTATTTTAAAACTGCAACCAGCACATAAACAGTTATATGTTTGAAAATGAGAATGTCAAAATGTTTGATGCCATGCATCTCGGTAAATATGAATTGAAGCTCATGAATTCTATTTCTATGGTCCTTGTTTTAGAATAGATATAGAATTCAAAATGTGATTTTTCAACCATAAGGTCCCTCATCACATAGTTGATCATGTATACTGAACCAAAGTAAAAACTTCACAATCCTAAAATTTTAACATTTTGACCAGTTATCATTGTGGGCCCTTATTGTGTATTTAAACAGTAATGGCCTCAATCCCATCGAACACGTCTGGGATGCTCTTGGCAGAAGTCTGCGCACTCTCCAGAACCAACCACATAATTTGCAAGATCTTGGCACCGTTTGGCAGCAACAATGGCGTCATCTTCCCAATCATGTGTTCACAAGCATCACAAGGTCCATGCGGAGGCGTTGTGTGGCAGTTGTCAACGCACATGGTGGCCATACACGCTACTGAACTTGTGTGCCATCAGATTCTCGTTCTTGGGACTTATGATTTAAACTGTTGATGTTATTACCGAATACCGTAGGTGCTTGGAATAAATTATGGTTACCACCGTTAATTCAAATCCTTCTTTGGACATTAATGATTAAAAATTACCTTCTCTGATACATTTGTCCGTTGTATATCATATATGGGATTACTTTTAAAAATGTGAAGTTTTTAATTTGACTCAGTATATTTGTGTTTTGTCTCGTCTTTGTTATATACGTCACACTTACCAGCGTGAACCATCCGGCAAAGGACATCTGCTGATCTTGTAAATTCTAAGGAAAAAAAGGAAGAGTGAGTGAGTGAGTTGGTTTTAACGCCGATTTGAACAATGTTCAATTCATATGTGGGGGAAAGCCCGAAGTGATGCAGGCCTCAGATGTTTGGTGAAACCCATGAGCTCTGGTATGGTGTTGAATCACTCAACATATTTGGAGCCAACCGTGATTCGAACCATCCAAAAGAGGCTCCTGGCGTGTCCAAGGGACGCAAATCTGCCCTGCAAAATGCGGCACCTGAGTTGGTTGGTTGGTTTGTTGTTACGCCGCACTCACAATATTCCAGCTATATGACGGCGGTTTGAAATAATCGAGTCTGGACCAGACAATCCAGTGGTTGATATCATGAGCATCGATCTACGCAATTGGGATACGATGATATGCATCAACCAAATCAGCGAGCCTGACCACCCGATCCCGTTAGTCACCTCTTAGGCCAAGCATGGTCGCCTTTTACGGCAAGCATGGGTTGCTGAGACGACTGCGGAACTATGGAAGAAACCAAATTGATCGCCACAGGCCAATAGACGAGATTCATTGTTGGTATGACGTACAGCAGGCCAATAGAAGCCATTCATTGTTGGTATGACGTATCACAGGCCAATAGACACAATTCAATGTTGGCATGACGTATCACAGACCAATAGATACAATTCATTGTTGGCATGACGTACCACAGACCAATAGACACAATTCATTGTTGGCATGACGTACCACAGACCAATAGATACAATTCATTGTTGGCATGACGTACCACAGACCAATAGACACAATTCAATGTTGGCATGACGTACCACAAGCCAATAGACACAATTCAATGTTGGTATGACGTACCACAGGCCAATAGACACGATTCATTGTTGGCATGATGTACCACAGACCAATAGACACAATTCATTGTTAGCATGACGTACCACAAGCCAATAGACACGATTCATTGTTGGCATGACGTACCACAGGCCAATAGACACAATTCATTGTTTGCATGACGTACCACAGGCCAATAGACACAATTCATTGTTGGCATGACGTACCACAGACCAATAGACACAATTCATTGTTGGCATGACGTACCACAGGCCAATAGACACAATTCATTGTTGGCATGACATACCACAGACCAATATACACAATTCATTGTTGGCATGACGTACCACAGACCAATAGACACAATTCATTGTTGGCATGACGTACCACAGGCCAATAGACACGATTCATTGTTGGCATGACGTACCACAAGCCAATAGACACAATTCATTGTTGGCATGACGTACCACAGGCCAATAGACACAATTCATTGTTGGCATGACGTACCACAGACCAATAGACACAATTCATTGGTGGCATGACGTACCACGGGCTGACATATTCCTTCAAGATTGATACATGCACTAAATCAGGGACTCGTTGAATCGTAGTTGTAAACTTAAGAACAGCAGATGGTTTACCATGTTTTGAATGGAGAGCAAGTTGTATGCGATCTCGACCGATGTAACAGGCGTAGGGCGAACATATGTGCTGTAGTTGGTCAGTAGATCCTTCCTCAGGAGTGTCTCCCCCTCAATGCTGAACGATGACGAACCTTTAGCAACGGAAAAATAGTATTTATTTTTCAGAGTGAGCGAGTTTAACTCAGTTCAACGCCGCTTTTACAGTATTCCGCTAGTCAACAGCGTGTCAGCTTAATTTGGGAGGAAAGCCAAAAGCGACGCAGGTCTCAGACGTTTTCCACTTCAGTGAAACCAACGAGCACGTGTATGGTGCTGACAAACCTAGAAACATATTCGGGGCGAGCCGGGATTCGAACCAACGACCATAGGCGTGCCCAAAGGAAGCAATTCTGCACAGCGAATTGCAGCGTCTTAGACGACTGGGCCACCTGTGCCCCATAGTTTTCAGAATAATGTGTTGTTTAGTTTATATACTTACATCTGTACATCAATGTTTTATGACATAGTATCATTATGTGCAGCGTAATTCCTCGTGAAGAATGTGTAGTATGTATTTACAAGTGTGCTACAGTGTGTCATTGTACAGTGAAGAATGTGAAGTATATATTTACAAGTGTGCTACAATGTGTCATGGTGCAGTGAAGAATGTGAAGTATATATTTACAAGTGTGCTACAGTGTTTCATGGTACAATGAAGAATGTGAAGTATATATTTACAAGTGTGCTACAGTGTTTCATGGTACAATGAAGAATGTCAAGTATATATTTACAAGTGTCCTACAGTGTTTCATGGTACAATGAAGAATGTCAAGTATATATTTACAAGTGTGCTACAGTTGGTCATGGTACAATGAAGAATGTGAAGTATATATTTACAAGTGTGCTACAATGTGTCATGGTACAGTGAAGAATGTGAAGTATATATTTACAAGTGTGCTACAATGTGTCATGGTGCAGTGAAGAATGTGAAGTATATATTTACAAGTGTGCTACAGTGTGTCATGGTACAGTGAAGAATGTGAAGTATATATTTACAAGTGTGCTACAGTGTGTCATGGTACAGTGAAGAATGTGAAGTATATATTTACAAGTGTGCTACAGTGTTTCATGGTACAATGTGAAGAATGTGAAGTATGTATTTACAAGTGTGCTACAATGTGTCATGGTGCAGTGAAGAATGTGTAGTATATATTTACAAGGGTGCTACAATGTGTCATGGTACAGTGAAGAATGTGAAGTATATATTTACAAGTGTGCTACAATGTGTCATGGTACAGTGAAGAATGTGAAGTATATATTTACAAGTGTGCTACAATGTGTCATGGTACAGTGAAGAATGTGAAGTATATATTTACAAGTGTGCTACAATGTGTCATGGTACAGTGAAGAATGTGAAGTATATATTTACAAGTGTGCTACAATGTGTCATGGTACAGTGAAGAATGTCAAGTATATATTTACAAGTGTGCTACAGTGTGTCATGGTACAGTGAAGAATGTGAAGTATATATTTACAAGTGTGCTACAATGTGTCATGGTACAGTGAAGAATGTGAAGTATATATTTTCAAGTGTGCTACAATGTGTCATGGTACAGTGAAGAATGTGAAGTATATATATACAAGTGTGCTACAATGTGTCATTGTACAGTGAAGAATGTGAAGTATATATTTACAAGTGTGCTACAATGTGTCATGGTACAGTGAAGAATGTGAAGTATATATTTACAAGTGTGCTACAATGTGTCATTGTACAGTGAAGAATGTGAAGTATATATTTACAAGTGTGCTACAATGTGTCATGGTACAGTGAAGAATGTGAAGTATATATTTACAAGTGTGCTACAATGTGTCATGGTACAGTGAAGAATGTGTAGTATATATTTACAAGTGTGCTACAGTGTTTCATGGTACAGTGAAGAATGTGAAGTATATATTTACAAGTGTGCTACAATGTGTCATGGTACAGTGAAGAATGTGAAGTATATATTTACAAGTGTGCTACAATGTGTCATGGTACAGTGAAGAATGTGTAGTATGTATTTACAAGTGTTCTACAATGTGTCAATGTACAGTGAAGAATGTGAAGATTGTATTTACAAGTGTGCTACAGTGTGTCATTGTACAGTGAAGAATGTGACGTATATATTTACAAGTGTGCTACAGTGTGTCATTGTACAGTGAAGAATGTGAAGTATATATTTACAAGTGTGCTACAATGTGTCATGGTACAGTGAAGAATGTGACGTATATATTTACAAGTGTGCTACAATGTGTCATGGTACAGTGAAGAATGTGAAGTATATATTTACAAGTGTGCTACAATGTGTCATGGTACAGTGAAGAATGTGAAGTTTGTATTTACAAGTGTGCTACAGTGTGTCATGGTACAGTGAAGAATGTGAAGTATGTATTTACAAGTGTGCTACAATGTGTCATTGTACAGTGAAGAATGTGAAGTATATATTTACAAGTGTGCTACAGTGTGTCATTGTACAGTGAAGAATGTGAAGTATGTATTTACAATTGTACTACAGTGTTTCATTGTACAATGAAGAATGTGAACTATGTATTTACAAGTGTGCTACAGTGTGTCATAGTACAGTGTCGAATGTGTAGTATGTATTTACAAGCGTACATTAGTGTGTCATGGCACGAACAGACGTTAAAAGAGGGTTAAAAAGATTGTTGTTACCGTGCCTGATGCTTAGCACTAAAGGGGTAAAACAAGGAATGGTCGGCTCGGAGTCGATATACTGTGTGGGGTAATCATGTTAAACACAAACGCACACTGAAAACACCCACACGCACGCACAAACAAGTGTACGGCAGTGTTATATACTAACAAGTGTACGACAGTACTATCATATGTTTACAAGTGTACGACAGTGTTATATACTAACAAGTGTACGACAGTGTTATATACTAACAAGTGTACGACACTGTTATATACATACAATTGTACGACAGTGTTATATACTAACAAGTGTACGACACTGTTATATACTTACAAGTGTACGGCAGTGTTATATACTAACAAGTGTACGACAGTTCTATCATATGTTTACAAGTGTACGACAGTGTTATATACTAACAAGTGTAAGACAGTGTTATATACTTACAAGTGTACGACACTGTTATATACTTACAAGTGTACGACAGTGTTATATACTAACAAGTGTACGACACTGTTATATACTAACAAGTGTACGACAGTGTTTTGTACTTACAAGTGTACGACAGTGTTATATACTTACAAGTGTACGGCAGTGTTATATACTTACAAGTGTACGACAGTACTATCATATGTTTACAAGTGTACGACACTGTTATATACTAACAAGTGTACGACAGTACTATCATATGTTTACAAGTGTACGACAGTGTTATATACTAACAAGTCTACGACAGTGTTATATACTTACAAGTGTACGACACTGTTATATATTTACAAGTGTAAGGCAGTGTTATATACTAACAAGTGTACGACACTGTTATATACTTACAAGTGTACGGCAGTGTTATATACTTACAAGTGTACGACACTGTTATATACTTACAAGTGTACGGCAGTGTTATATACTAACAAGTGTACGACAGTTCTATCATATGTTTACAAGTGTACGACAGTGTTATATACTAACAAGTGTACGACAGTGTTATATACTTACAAGTGTACGACACTGTTATATATTTACAAGTGTAAGGCAGTGTTATATACTAACAAGTGTACGACACTGTTATATACTTACAAGTGTACGGCAGTGTTATATACTTACAAGTGTACGACACTGTTATATACTTACAAGTGTACGGCAGTGTTATATACTTACAAGTGTACGACACTGTTATATACTTACAAGTGTACGGCAGTGTTATATACTTACAAGTGTACGGCAGTGTTATATACTTACAAGTGTACGGCAGTGTTATATACTTACAAGTGTACGACAGTGTTATATACTAACAAGTGTACGACAGTGTTATATACTTACAAGTGTACGACACTGTTATATACCTACAAGTGTACGACAGTGTTATATACTAACAAGTGTACGACAGTGTTATATACTAACAAGTGTACGGCAGTGTTATATACTAACAAGTGTACGACAGTGTTATATACTTACAAGTGTACGGCAGTGTTATATACTAACAAGTGTACGACAGTGTTATATACTAACAAGTGTTCGACAGTACTATCATATGTTTACAAGTGTACGGCAGTGTTATATACTAACAAGTGTACGACAGTGTTATATACTTACAAGTGTACGGCAGTGTTATATACTTACAAGTGTACGACACTGTTATATACTTACAAGTGTACGGCAGTGTTATATACTAACAAGTGTACGACAGTTCTATCATATGTTTACAAGTGTACGACAGTGTTATATACTAACAAGTGTACGACAGTGTTATATACTTACAAGTGTACGACACTGTTATATACCTACAAGTGTACGACAGTGTTATATACTAACAAGTGTACGACAGTGTTATATACTAACAAGTGTTCGACAGTGCTATCATATGTTTACAAGTGTACGACACTGTTATATACCTACAAGTGTTATATACTAACATGTGTACGACAGTGTTATATACTAACAAGTGTACGACAGTGTTATATACTAACAAGTGTTCGACAGTGCTATCATATGTTTACAAGTGCACGACTGTGTTATATACTATCAAGTGTACAACACTGTTATATACTCACAAGTGTGTTATACTTACAAGTGTACGACGGTGTTATATACTACCAAGTGTACGAGAGTGTTATCATATGTTTACAGGTGTACGACTGTGTTGTATACTAACATGTGTACAACAGTGTTATATACTTACATGTGTGCAACAGTGCTAGCACATACTTACATGTGTACGACAGTGTTATATACTAACAAATGTACCACAGTGTTATATACTTACAAGTGTACGACAGTGCTATCAAATATATACAAGTGTACAACAGTGCTAGCATGTATTTACAACTTACAACAGTGCTAGCATATATTTACAACTTACAACAGTGCTAGCATATATTTACAACTTACAACAGTGCTAGCATATATTTACAAGTGTACAACAGTGCTAGCATATATTTACAAGTGAACAACAGTGCTAGCATATATTTACAAGTGTACAGCAGTGCTAGCATATATTTACAAGTGTACAGCAGTGCTAGCATATATTTACAAGTGTACAACAGTGCTAGCATATATTTACAAGTGTACAACAGTGCTAGCATATATTTACAACTTACAACAGTGCTAGCATGTATTTACAACTTACAACAGTGCTAGCATATATTTACAAGTGTACAACTGTGCTAGCATATATTTACAACTTACAACAGTGCTAGCATATATTTACAAGTTTACAACAGTGCTAGCATATATTTACAAGTGTACAACAGTGCTAGCATATATTTACAAGTGTACAACAGTGCTAGCATATATTTACAACTTACAACAGTGCTAGCATATTTTTACAACTTACAACAGTGCTAGCATATATTAACAAGTGTACAACAGTGCTAGCATATATTTACAATAGTACAACAGTGCTAGCATATATTTACAACTTACAACAGTGCTAGCATATATTTACAACTTACAACAGTGCTAGCATATATTTACAACCTACAACAGTGCTAGCATATATTTACAATTTACAACAGTGCTAGTATATGTTTACAAGTGTACAACAGTGCTAGCATATATTTACAACTTACAACAGTGCTAGCATATATTTACAATTGTACAACAGTGCTAGCATATATTTACAAGTGTACAACAGTGCTAGTATATGTTTACCTCATACAACAGTGCTAGCATGTATTTACAAGTGTACATCAGTGCTAGCATATATTTACAACTTACAACAGTGCTAGCATATATTTACAAGTGTACAACAGTGCTAGTATATATTTACAACTTACAACAGTGCTAGCATATATTTACAAGTGTACAACAGTGCTAGTATATGTTTACCTCTTACAACAGTGCTAGCATGTATTTACAAGTGTACAACAATGCTAGCATATATTTACAAGTGTACAACAGTGCTAGCATATATTTACAACTTACAACAGTGCTAGCATATATTTACAAGTGTACAACAGTGCTAGTATATGTTTACAAGCGTACAACAGTGTTATATATTTACAAGTGTACGACAGTGCTATCAAATATCTACAAGTGTACGACAGTTCTATCAAATATCTACAAGTGTACAACAGTGCTAGCATATATTTACAAGTGTGCAACAGTGCTAGCATATATTTACAAGTGTGCAACAGTGCTAGCATATATTTACAAGTATACAACAGTGTTATATACTTACATGTGTACAACACGCTCAAGATGAGCAGGACGCTGGTCTTCAATGTTGCCATGTCTGTCCAGAGACAATATGGTTCTGTATTCCTGCTACTTCTGTGTGAACAGTCAACAGGGAATTCGTTCTGGAACACGTAACTTCATTCGCATTAATCTTACTTATTCGTCACCCCTTCCATTACCAAGCAGGGAGAAAATATATATCCTGTATGCAACCCAACATGATTACGGCTGTGCCCTCCATAATCTGGTTTAATCTCTGAAGCAGATTTATGTGTTTGTAACTGACCACGAAATGCAGCAGTATTAACGAATAATCTATTGTTGATAAATAACCATGCCTGCTTAAGTCGAAATATCGCATTTGGGTGATTATGATAAATCGTTTTGACATAAGGATGATTGCGAAATTCGCCTCTTTGTCGTTGGCATTGAGCTTTGTGTCTTTGTTGTTTCTTCGTCACGTTAACAAAGAGTGACCGCGTTTCCAGAGAGGGGACAATGGCAGAGGAACTCGTTCATTAAAGAACTGCCAAAGGACTTTAAATAACGTACCATGAATATATTGACTGTCCTTTGCAAGCCTCAAAGTTCACATCTTTACCAAGTAGCCATATGTCTATATGGATGCCAGTATGTTTTTCCAGGTAGCCAGTGGTAAAATTAAGAGGTCAATCCAATATTGTATTTAGGCAAAAGCATTGAAATTATCTTTAATCAAATAACTATAATATTAATAGTTTATGTACAAGTCATAACACCAGTCTTGGAATTGATTGTTAGTGGAAACTACTTAATTTTTGTTATTTGTGACTCGAACAATGATGCAATTTATGTTACTACATTATATAGGTATGTGTAATTAATATTATGTATTTGGTTCATTGTCGACCTTAGGAGCAATTATTTGCAAGTAAAATTATTAGCAGACGTGTTTTCCAAGATCAGCTTTTATTTTTGTGTGTGTCTCGCCATATGTGTAGCAATATAATTTAGTCGCCAAGAGATATTTTCAAGGTAGTCATTTGGCTACCTCTGAATTATAGACAGAAGACAAATTGAATATTTGGCCGCATTGGCGACCGTTTTAGTCCCAACTTTGAGGCTTGCTTGGTGTCGTCCTAAAGTAACCAACAACACCAGAAATAGGCTTCACACATTGTACCCATGTCGGGAATCGAACCCGGGTCTTCGGCGTGACGAGCGAACGCTTTTACCACTTGGCTACCCCACTTGTGAGATCACCTTGACATGCAAACTACAGTAAGACCAGGTCGTCCTTAGAACACAGGTCCTCCGAGAAGATTGGCGGCCAATCCCATTTCTTGTGATCTGAGGTCTCAGATCGTCTACCCGTCGTCGAGTTGGGGCGCGCATTGATGGCCGAATAGGGCGTACACGATTTTGACTGACCAGTGTGACATTCTGAAGTATTAAAGGAGGTGCATGTGCCGATGAACAAGTGACCCTATCCTACAAACTTCACGTTTGATCTCATTCACGGCATGTAAACGGTTTGGCAACACTATCCCAGATATGTCTATCTGTGTCACAATACAACTATCACTACTCGTGTCACATTACCACTATCCCTGCACAGATTAACGTAAACACATCACCACTATCCCTGCAGAGACTACTGTTAACACACAACCACTACCCACGCAGACTTACGATAACACATTACCACTATCCCAGCATAGACTAGTGTTAACAAACAACCACTATCCCAGCAAAGTCTACCGTTACCACATCACCACTATCCCAGCAGACTACCGTTAACACATCATCACTATCCCTGCAAAGTCTACCGTTAACACATCACCACTATTCCAGGGGACTACCGTTAACACATCACCACTATCCCAGCATAGACTATCCACGTCACACCACCACTATCCCAGCATAGACTACCCCTGTCACACCACCACTATCCCAGCACAGACCATCCATGTCACACAACCACTACCCGAGCATAGACCACCCCTGTCACATCACCATTATCCCAGCATAGACTACCCCTGTCACACCACCACTATCCCAGCATAGACTAACCCTGTCACACCACCACTATCCCAGCATACGCCACCCCTGTCACATCACCACTATCCCAGCAAAGACTACCGCTGTCCCATATCACCACTATCCCAGCATAGACTACCCCTGTCACATCACCACTACCCGAGCATAGACCACCCCTGTCACATCACCACTATCCCAGCATAGACTACCCCTGTCACATCAACACTATCCCAGCATAGACTATCCATGTCACATCACCACTATCCTAGCACAGACTACCCCTGTCACATCACTACTATCCCAGCATAGACGACCCCTGTCACACCACCACTACCCCAGCAAACACTACCGCTGTCCCATATCACCACTACCCCAGCATAGACTACCCCTGTCACATCACCACTATCCCAGCATAGACTTTCCATGTCACACCACCACTATCCCAGCATAGACTACCCATGTCACACCACCACTACCCCAGCATAGACTACCCATGTCAGACCACCACTATCCCAGCATAGACTATCCCTGTCACACCACCACTATCCCAGCACAGACTATCCATGTCACATCACCACTATCCAAGCATAGACTACCCCTGTCACATCACCACTATCCCAGCATAGACTTCCCCTGTCACACCACCACTACCCCAGCACAGACTACCAATGTCACATCACCACTACCCCAGCATAGACTACCCCTGTCACACCACCACTACCCCAGCACAGACTATCCATATCACACCACCACTACCCCAGCATAGACTATCAATGTCACACCACCACTACCCAAGCACAGACTATCCATGTAACACCACCACTATCCCAGCATAGACTACCAATGTCACATCACCACTACCCCAGCAAAGACTATCCATGTCACACCACCACTATCCCGGCACAGACTATCCATGTCACACCACCACTACCCCAGCATAGACTCCCCATGTCAGACCACCACTATCCCAGCAGAGAATATCCCTGTCACACCACCACTATCCCAACATAGTCTACCAATGTCACATCACCACTATCCCAGCATAGACTACCAGTGTCACATCACCACTATCCCAGCACAGACTACCCCTGCCACATCACCAATATCCCAGCATAGACTACCAATGTCACATCACCACTATCCCAGCATAGACTACCAATGTCACATCACCACTATCCAAGCACAGACTACCCCTGTCCAATATCACCACTATCCCAGCATAGACTACCAATGTCACATCACCACTATCCCAGCATAGACTACCCCTGTCACACCTCCACTATCCCAGCACAGACTACCCCTGTCACATCACCACTATCCCAGCATAGACTACCAATGTCACATCACCACTACCCCAGCAAAGACTACCCCTGTCACATCACCACTATCCCAGCATAGACTACCAATGTCACATCACCATTATCCCAGCATAGACTACCCCTGTCACATCACCACTATCCGAGCATAGACTACCAATGTCACCTCACCATTATCCCAGCAGAGACTACCCCTGTCACATCACCACTATCCCAGCATAGACCACCCCTGTCGCATCACCACTATCCCAGCATAGACTACCCCTGTCACATCACCACTATCCCAGCATAGACTACCAATGTCACACCACCACTATCCAAGCATAGACTACCCCTGTCACACCTCCACTATCCCAGCACAGACTACCCCTGTCACATCACCACTATCCCAGCATAGACTACCAATGTCACATCACCACTACCCCAGCATAGACTACCCCTGTCACATCACCACTATCCCAGCATAGACTACCAATGTCACATCACCACTATCCCAGCATAGACCACCCCTGTCACATCACCACTATCCCGGCACATTGTTGGTTTGTTTGGGATTGATTTCATGATCCTCGGTCCCCGCAAATGGGATACGCGATGACATGCATCAACCAAGTCAGCGAGCCTGACCACCCGATCCCGTTAGTCGACTTTTACGACAAGCATAGTCATACGATGACATGCATCAACCAAGTCAGCGAGCCTGACCACCTGATCCCATTAGTCGCCTCTAACGACAAGCATAGTCATACGATGACATGCATCAACTAAGTCAGCGAGCCTGACCACCCGATCCCGTTAGTCGCCTTTTACGACAAGCATAGTCATACGATGACATGCATCAACCAAGTCAGCGAGCCTGACCACCCGATCCCGTTAGTCGTCTTTTACGACAAGCATAGTCATACGATGACATGCATCAACCAAGTCAGCGAGCCTGACCACCCTTTAGTCCTTTTACGGTAAGCATGGGTTGCTGAAAAACAATTCCGAACCGGATGTCCACGTGTGTTGTAGTACGGCGACACCAGCAGCCCATGAACTCACTCACACCCGGTGCTGAGTCGAGATATATGATGGCTGTTAAACCAGAATCATAATGACACAGCACAAAGGACGCGTTGTTTCAATATACTTTCCTTTATGGACGTAATCAAAATCTATTTAAAATCATTTTTGTTTGACACATATCTGATATGTTGGTATCGACCAGGATATGTTCCACTTTGGACCTCATTTCCAGGACAGGACATGACACCCCTTCAGCCAATGATGCGACATCCACAGCATCAGGATGGTATAAATGACAGGCAGCCCCAGCAGGAAGGGGAGACTCCAGCAGGAAGCCGCACAGCAGAACGAAGAAGTAGAGTAAGTATCGCCCTTATTCTTCCGATGTTGAAATTCACTCCTCTGATTAACTCGAGAGGTTAAAATATGTTCCTGGCACCGAATTCCTTGTTGAATTTTTTGTTTGTTTGTTGTTTAACGCCACATAGAAATACTAAGGCTATATGACGACGGTCTGTAATTAATCGAATATGGACCAGACAATCCAGTGATTGACATCATGAGCATCTATCCACCCAATTGGGATACGATGACATGCATCAACCAAGTCAGCGAGTCTGACCACCCGATTCCGTTAGTCGCCTCTTGAGTATGGTTTTACGCCGCTTTTAGCAATATTCCAGCAATATCACGGCGGGGGACACCAGAAATAGGCTTCACACATTGTACCCATGTCGGGAATCGTACCCGGGTCTGCGGCGTGACGAGCGAACGCTTTAACCACTAGGCTACCCGACCGTCCCCAACAGATAA